CACTACCAGTCACTGAGGAATGTGTCGTTATGCCTCCGTATGTACATTGTGTTGAAATGTGTCGTTATGCCTCCGTATGTAAATTGTGTTGAAATGTGTCGTTATGCCTCCGTATGTAAATTGTGTTGAAGTGTGTTATTTATGTAAATTGTGTTGAAATGTGTCGTTATGCTTCTGTATGTAAATTGTGTTGAAATGTGTTATTTATGTAAATTGTGTTGAAATGTGTCGTTATGCCTCTGTATGTAAATTGTGTTGAAATGTGTTATTTATGTAAATTGTGTTGAAATGTGTCGTTATGCCTCTGTATGTAAATTGTGTTGAAATGTGTTATTTATGTAAATTGTGTTGAAATGTGTCGTTATGCCTCTGTATGTAAATTGTGTTGAATGACTTGATGGCTGAACGTGTTTTGTAGCGAACGAAATCTGGACACGCAATGTGATGGATACTTGCCCTTGTTTCAATGTGATGGATACTTGCCCTTGTTTCAGTTTGATCCATGCTTTGATGGATACCAGGACCAAAGATTTTTGTCAGGATAGAATGTCCGGGATAAGCGGCTTATCATGATAGATCAGGGCATTATGGGACGGTCATGTCGCTGGGGTGGCAAATGTTGTGTCGGCTTGTGAATCGTCTTTTGGTGAGCAGTGTTTCTTTCAGGCATTTTTCTCTTGGGGGGAGGAGGGCACTTGAAACATTGGGGGTGGGGGGTGGACACTGGTTAAAGTACATATTTTGTTTATAAATTCAATTTAGTTTGGAGTAGGAGTGGCAGTAGACGCGTTAATGGGGGGGGGGGGGGGGTTGTAGAGAAGGGACCCCCCACCCCTTTGGCTACAGACTGCTGGTGGGTCATTTAGTCGCATACAAACATAAGGTACATTTGTTGGATTAGCTTTGTTGGATCAGCTTTGTTGGATCAGCTTTGTTGGATTAGCTTTGTTGGATCAGCTTTGTTGGATCAGCTTTGCCGGATCAGCTTTGTTGGATCAGCTTTGTTTGATTAGCTTTGTTGGATAACTTTGCCGGATCAGCTTTGTTGGATGAGCTTTGTTGGATCAGCTTTGTTGGATCAGGTTTGTTGGATCAGGTTTGTTGGATCAGGTTTGTTGGATCAGGTTTGTTGGATCAGCTTTGTTGGATCAGCTTTGTTGGATCAGGTTTGTTGGATCAGGTTTGTTGGATCAGGTTTGTTGGATCAGGTTTGTTGGATCAGGTTTGTTGGATCAGGTTTGTTGGATCAGGTTTGTTGGATCAGGTTTGTTGGATCAGGTTTGTTGGATTAGCTTTGTTGGATCAGCTTTGTTGGATAAGCTTTGCCGGATCAGCTTTGTTGGATTAGCTTTGTTAGATCAGCTTGCTGGATAGAGATATGTTGGACTGCTGTTTGATTGAGAGGACTGTAGTAGAGGACAAAGCTGGAAAAATGTTTTGTGATCTCAAGTTTTCTAAACTAGTCAATATCAAGGTGTTTTAATCATATTACCTTCGTATTGTATCACCATTGGTGTTTTAGTCATAATACTTTCTGACTGTGTCACCAAAGGTGAATTAATCAAAGTGCTTACTTATAATGTCCTAATGTGCTGTTACCAGGTTTAACCATCACAGTGTGGTCTTAGAAAATTGGGACCAGATGTTGTCTACTATCTATCAGCCCCAGTTGTTATATTTCATTTGTTCACCCCCCCACCCCCCGCCACAATTTTAAAATACACCCCATGTGGGTAACGGTTTTCATGTCCTCTTGCTTTAGTCTCCCAGACCCCTGATTTAGGTCGCTAGTCCAGTCCGCAACATCCTCTGATTTCTGGGTGGGGTTGTATGTCAATCAACACTTGGATTTTTGCTGTGAGAGGTTGTTTAAAGGAAAACATTTGTAAGAACAAGCAAGAGAAACTTTCTTACCCCAGTATCTCAATCAACACGGGGATGTTGCTGGGTCTGTAGACCTGTTGTAAAACTGTTAACGATATTACGACCATCTTGTATCACCAATTTCAACTGAAAGTAAAATCAATAAGAAAATAAAGGTTTAGAAATTGATAAACACAGGAAAATATTTTAAGAAAATTAGAGAAAATTATTCTTTTATGTAAGGTTCAAGGATAAAAATAATTTTATACCGACTAATCAAAAGAATAGGAAGTACACGTATGGGCAGCCATAATGTCGCCATTTTAATCACGCGATTAGAACCGACGTCATTTACTGACGTCACAGACAGCAGTACCGTCTACTAGACTGACGTCTACAGCTATGGCGACCCAGTTATTGAAATGTTATCCAGATCTGTCGGATAACTTTCGGATAACTCTCGACAGTCTGGGGAAAACACGACTCCGGTTGGGAAAGTGTCTTAGAAAAATAAAATGTTTGTGGTTTCGAACGTGTCGTAGCAATAAAGTGGAAGTGATCTCCCTTGAACTTGATCGTATATTTACTTGAGAAGTTTAGAGGAAGTATTGTAATCGTGCTAAATATCGAAATCGACAATTTTTCTACACCGGTCGGAAAAACTTTGTAATTTGCAATGTTATCTGTGTGTGTGTATTTGTCTGTCTGTCTATTTTTCTGTCTGCCTGTATTTGTCTGTCCATGAATCCGATAACTTGAGTACTGTTTCAGTTAGGTAGACAATATTTCATATATAAGAAAAAATCTTAAACTTTGATTTCCTTAAATTGTTGAGTGATTTCCGATATGCGGAAGTGGTACTTTATTTCTGGTTTCCAATATACCCATAACATGAGTACTGTTGGAGGTAGGGGGCTGTACTCTGTCCTGTAGGCCGAGACATTAATTATAGGGTGACGTCACCAGGATAATTTCGTTGGCGTAGTAGCCCCCCCCCCCACCCTTCCCCCCTCTATTAGTCAACCTCCCATAGGTTTACATACACGTTTATGGATCGAAAACATACTACACACACGTACACATATTCTCGCATACTAACACGTACAATACGTATACACGAATCCATACACATATACACATGCAAACACACATACACAAATATAGGTATACAAATGCAGAACGACAAACTCACAATGAAAGTTTCATACCAATGCAAGACTGATGTAAATAGGCACAGCAAGGTGGGATGTCTATACCAACAGAGAGCTAAATAGACACACACAAGGCCAGTGTGATGCCTATATCAAGACAGAGCTAAATAGACACACACAAGGCCAGTGTGATGCTTATATCAAGACAGAGCTAAATAGACACACACAAGGCCAGTGTGATGCTTATATCAAGACAGAGCTAAATAGACACACACAAGGCCAGTGTGATGCCTATATCAAGACAGAACTAACTAGGCGGACAGAATGAAAGTCTGGCACTGAGAACTTAGCATATGGTGATATGTCCAGCATCAACAGAGAGATACGTCGGTATGAAGCTGGTGATAAGTCCAGCATCAACAGAGATACGTCGGTATGAAGCTGGTGATAAGTCCAGCATCAACAGAGATACGTCGGTATGAAGCTGGTGATAAGTCCAGCATCAACAGAGATACGTCGGTATGAAGCTGGTGATAAGTCCAGCATCAACAGAGAGATACGTCGGTATGAAGCTATTTGACACATTTAAAGACTTGACTGCTTTAAAGTCAAGGGGAACGTCAAGTTGTGAGATACTTGATCTAGATGTAAAGTCACATTTCAAGTCAAGTCACATTTAAAGTCATGGCAGATTTCAAGTGATGAAAATTGTGACATTCCTGAAGCTAGTTCCCCATGGGTTGTGCAAATTTGACGAGTAGCTAAAGCATGCTAATATTTGTACCTAAGTCATATGACTTCTGTAAATCCGTGCCGTAAGACATATGATGTGTGCCCCTTATCATTTAAGTTATATGACTTCATTCACCTACGATTGTCTGTAAATCATATAAACTCAAGTCATCCACCATCTTGTGTAAGTCATATGACTTGTGCCACATGACTACGTCACTTCCTGTTTATCCCTGCCGCTAGTCAGGGTGACTGTCAAACTGTCAGTCAGTTTTGCGCTGGCTCAAATTTAATCAACGGCCAGCGCGTGCAATTAGTCACACATGTAAATCTGGAACAGATGACGTCATCGATAGCAGTGCTTTAATCTGGTCCCTCATTTATTTAAGAAAAATCTAGACTAAAAAATGGAGGACTTATTCGTTGATGCGGTAAATTAATTAAGTGATTGAATTATTGGTTGAATGATTGGTCGACTGCCTTCAGTTCTAAGACAGTTAATACCCTCGATCAATATTCGAAATGTTTAGAGTTTTCAACATGTATAAAAATTCAACATGTTTAACTTTTTCAATATTTATCAACATTCAACATGTTTAGCATTTTCAACATTTATAAACATATAAAATGCTTAGCGTTTTCAACAATAATCAACAGTCAGCATGTTTAGCGTTTTCAACATTAATCAACATTGAAAATATCATTAATCAGAATTACAACCTACTCATCGTTTCCAACTGTGATCAAACTGCCTAACATATGGAACCTACTAGAAGCTTTATAGCGGCTGACAAAAGCTGGTTAGGAAAAAAAATTCAGCCAGTTAAAAATGGCGTCTGGATAACACAGGCTGTCACTATAATTTGCTTGTCTCTAAATGTCATATTTTCATAAAAACCTTACATGGCATTTGATGTGTGGGGGTAACATGTCATTTCCCCACACACATCTGTGTGTGGTCTTCGGCATGTCTGTTTATAAATTGAACTGTGGGGGGGGGGGGTGGAAATTTCGGCATGTGAATATATTTCGCCTTTGTGATAGATTATTTCCCTTTGTGCTAGATTATTTCCCTTGGATTATTACAGCGGTTGCTTCCCTTGCTTTCTGGCGAGCTGATTATGACTAGCTTAAGTGTGTTTTTGTGCGCGTGTTACCCAGTGAGTTTATAACAATTGAGCGACGTGCAGATAACGGACATCTATCTTTACTTAAATCGTCAACAGTGACACATATTTTTTTTCCATCCCACAGTGAAATTGTTTCATTCACCCAATAATTCTTCACAGACGTCACATCCTGCCACGTGATTTCATGGGAATTTAACGCTAAATATAGATTAGACTCGGATGGATTTTAACATCACTTTTTGGTAAGTTGAAAATGTTTTGTGTCGTATTTTGAAATTTTTTCAACCTTCTGGCTAAATAAAATTATATTCGTCAGTTTGGTATAAGAGGCTAAATTAGCCGACAGGGGCCCAAAATGGCCGCAATATGTGGTAAACACCTGGCCCTAGCTGGTCACATCTGTCACACTGTTGTCACGTGACCTCACAGATAAACAGCCACGTGACGTGACTGGTGATCTGTAGGTCGCTGGAGACTATCTGTGCTAGCTGGTCACGTGACAATCACGTCTGTCACGGTCATGTCACGTGATCTCACAACGTGGCTTGTGATCGGCAGGTCTGTGAAGGCGACCTAGAACAATCTGTGCAAGCTGCAGACATCAAGCTCACCAGACCGTTTTGTCCAATCAAAATGGGTTTAACACAAACACACACGGATTTGGTATTGTAACGGCCGTTTTCATTGGATGCGGGATGATCCTATAGAAGCTTTTGTTGGTGACAAGTCTTTGTTTCCTCTATCCAAAGAGCTTTATGGGTTTGTGGGTCATACACAATGATTTTATGGGTTTGTGGGTCATACACAGTGATTTTATGGGTTTGTGGGTCATATACAATGGTTTTACGGGTTTGTGGGTCATACTGTCATACACAATGGTTTTATGGGTTTGTGGGTCATACACAATGATTTTATGGGTTTGTGGGTCATACACAGTGATTTTATGGGTTTGTGGGTCATATACAATGGTTTTACGGGTTTGTGGGTCATACTGTCATACACAATGGTTTTATGGGTTTGTGGGTCATACACAATGATTTTATGGGTTTGTGGGTCATACACAGTGATTTTATGGGTTTGTGGGTCATATACAATGGTTTTACGGGTTTGTGGGTCATACTGTCATACACAATGGTTTTATGGGTTTGTGGGTCATACACAATGATTTTATGGGTTTGTGGGTCATACACAGTGATTTTATGGGTTTGTGGGTCATATACAATGGTTTTACGGGTTTGTGGGTCATACTGTCATACACAATGGTTTTATGGGTTTGTGGGTCATACACAATGATTTTATGGGTTTGTGGTTTTATGGGTTTGTGGGTCATACACAATGATTTTATGGGTTTGTGGGTCATACACAATGTTTTTATGGGTTTGTGGGCCATACACAATGATTTTATGGGTTTCTGGGCCATACTCAATGGTTTTATGGGTTTGTGGGCCATACACAATGATTTTATGGGTTTGTGGGCCATACACATTGGCTTTATGGGTTTGTGGGTCATATACAATGGTTTTATGGGTTTGTGGGTCATATACAATGGTTTTATGGGTTTGTGGGTCATACACAATGATTTTATGGGTTTGTGGTTTTATGGGTTTGTGGGCCATACACAATGTTTTTATGGGTTTGTAGTTTCCAGCTATTGTTTTAAGATTCCTGAGTACTTGTATTTATTTGGCTCAGAGATTGGGGTTTGAAAATCCAATATTTAACAACTGCTGTTTCTGAACTTTGATATTTGTTGACAGTAGCTATTTGTGAAATTTGATATTTTACAATTTCTGTGTGTGAAATTTGATATTTGTTGACAGTAGCTATTTGTGAAATTTGATATTTGTTGACATTTGTGAGTTTTGATATATGACGACTGGCATCAAGTATCTCAAGTAGCGAACTTTTCAAGTCTAGAAAATGAAATATAGAGGAGAGGGGAGGGTAATTTCCAGGTTAAAATGCCAAGGACAAACAATTAATATTTTGTTGTTGTTGTTGTATGTGCCTACGTTTAGCAAGTCAATATTAATTAACATTAATAATATTAATTAATTGTCAATGATGGCTAGGAAAAGGTTTTTAACCCCCCCCCCCTCCTCACTCCACACATACAAAGCGATCAGGATAGACACTTTGACATGATACATAATAGCACCACACTACTCTACTCCACACCATACACACAATAGCATCTCACCAAACACACACATACACCCACCATACGTACACACAAACACACCTAATTCATAGGAGTCATACCGTCTATCCCTTTTACTTTGGCTCCACGCAAGTTAGAATGGAACTTTTGTCCGGCATGTTGCCTATGTCCGGCTACCTGTAGACTTCCTTCCGGCATAGAGCCACCTCATTTTGCCCGGCATGTTGCCGGCTCCTTATGTCCGACATATAGTCACCTCATTTTGCCCGGCATGTTGCCGGCTCCTTATGTCCGGCATGTTGCCGGCTCCCTCTGTCCGGCATGTTGCCGGCTCCCTGTGTCCGGCATGTTGCCGGCTCCCTCTGTCCGGCATGTTGCCGGCTCCCTGTGTCCGGCATGTTGCCGGCTCCTTATGTCCGGCATGTTGCCGGCTCCTTATGTCCGGCATGTTGCCGGCTCCCTCTGTCCGGCATGTTGCCGGCTCCCTGTGTCCGGCATGTTGCCGGCTCCCTGTGTCCGGCATGTTGCCGGCTCCTTATGTCCGGCATGTTGCCGGCTCCTTATGTCCGGCATGTTGCCGGCTCCTTATGTCCGGCATGTTGCCGGCTCCCTCTGTCCGGCATGTTGCCGGCTCCCTGTGTCCGGCATGTTGCCGGCTCCTTATGTCCAGCATGTTACCGGCTCCTTACGCTAACACGGACCCTACACACTACAAAATCACCGGATACCGTGTAATTGTTCCATCCCCGACACCCAAGGCTTATAATGACAATAACCACCCCCCTCGCCCCCTCCCCCCTACAGACGCAGCCCAGGTCGGCGCCGCAGCTGCAGCAGACGACCAATATTTCCATAACTCTGCTCATTACGCGACCAGAATGAAATCTCGTGAATTAGTTACCATCGGGTGAGCCGGGGGAAAGGGGCGCAACCGACTCTATTAATGCCAGGAGAAGGGGGACAACCGAATCTATTAATATCCTTCTTGCAGGCTATGCTGGTGTTTGAATAGAAATTGTTTATCAATACGGCAGTCTGGCACTGGTCACTCAAGGTCACAGCGGGATGGAGAAGTTAGTGTCAGGAGGGGTCAGTCTTGGACTGATGGGTTGTGGGGTCAGTAGGGGTCATTAGGGGTCAGTGGGGGTCAGCAGGGGTCAGTCTAGGGCTGATGGGTTGTGGGGTCAGTAGGGGTCAGTAGGGTCAGTAGGGGTCAGTAGGGGTCAGTCTAGGACATATGGGTTGTAGGGTCAGTAGGGGTCAGTAGGGGTCAGTAGGGGTCAGTAGGGGTCAGTCTAGGACATATGGGTTGTAGGGTCAGTAGGGGTCAGGAAGTGGGTCAGTCTAGATGGGTTGTAGGGTCATTAGGGGTCAGGAAGGGGTCAGTCTAGATGGGTTGTAGGGTCAGTAGGGGGCACTCTAGGACAGAGTAGATTGTAGGACGTCAATGGGGCTAGATTGGTCTTTACGTAAGCAGACATCTTTCTCAATACCTTGTTAGAACCGACATGACAGTACCCCCCCCCCCCCCGCCCCTTTAGACGACCACAAAACTCCACCGCAAGATGATCCTAACTCTAACGCGATCACCTGCAGCAGTGGACCCTCTATGCCTAACCCAACACCACCAACAGACCACTACACCCTTACCATTCACCATCCACTGCTTGTGCCAACCCTAACAAAGTACCTCAGTAACCGCTGTGGATTACTCCACGCAGTAAAAGTAAAAATTGACGCCATTCTAAAGTAATAAAGTAATTGATAAGAAAAGTGTTGAGATAAGAGCTGTTCGATATTGACTTTCTTAGCCCGGTGACCCCAGGGGATAAAATCAATCATCCTTTATGTTCAACTACAGCTAATGGGTTCAGTTTACAAGCCCGCTTTGAAACTGCTTTGTGGGTGGATTAGTAGCATGTGAATGGTAAGGTGCTCGGCTGTAATAATACTTGGACAATAGCAGGGAGACTTTGGCAGGGGAAGGTGAGGCTATGACAGGGGAAGGTGAGACTAGCAGGGGAAGGCGAGACTGGCAGGGGAAGGTGAGACTGGCAGGGGAAGGTGAGACTATGACAGGGGAAGGTGAGACTATGACAGGGGAAGGTGAGACTATGACATGGGAAGGTGAGACTATGGCAGGGGAAGGTGAGACTATGACAGGGGAAGGTGAGACTATGACATGGGAAGGTGAGACTATGGCAGGGGAAGGTGAGACTATGGCAGGGGGTGGTGAGACTTTGAGAGGGGAAGGTGAGACTATGACAGGGGAAGGTGAGACTATGGCAGGGGAAGGTGAGACTATGACAGGGGAAGATGAGACTTTGGCAGGGGAAGGTGAGACTATGTCAGGGGAAGGTGAGACTTTGGCAGGGGAAGGTGAGACTATGACAGAGAAAGGTGAGACTATGACAGGGGAAGGTGAGACCAAGTCAGGGGAAGGTGAGACTATGACAGGGGAAGGTGAGACTATAACAGGGGAAGGTGAGACTATGACAAGGGAAGGTGAGACTATGGCAGGTGAAGGTGAGACTATGACAGGGGAAGGTGAGACTATGACAGGGGAAGGTGAGACTATGACAGGGGAAGGTGAGACTATGACAGGGGAAGGTGAGACTATGACAGGGGAATGTGAGACTGGCAGGGGAAAGTAAGACCAGGACAGGATAAAGTGAGAACATAACAGATAATATTGAGACTACTCCACCAAGCTTGTCTCATCTCTACTCCACCAAACTCTCCTCTCTACTCCACCAAACTCTCCTCTCTACTCCACCGAACTGTTCCAACCTTGCAAAAATCCTGGCCAATCTCTACCTTTCCACATGATCGGCCATGAGAAAACATTTGGCCATTTCTTTCCGCTGGTTTCCTGACCGGCAAATCAAATCGCCTCTGTTGCCTCACACATTTCTATTTCAGCGTCTGTCACTCACCCACAGCACATCCACATCCATAACCACATCCACAACCACATCCATATCCACCACCACATAGACACGTTTGCTTACAGCCACACCATAATACACTTTCACATTCCTATGCTATCTCGAGATTTGTAAATAAACCGCTGGAAATCTA